TCCCTATATATCCTGAGTCTGGAATAATATGTGTTAAGTTTCTGAAAAATGGGTTCAGGTTTCGATATAGCTCCCACATATACATATATTTTCGTCCGATTTGACATAATTGACCTTCTTATGTTTTTCCGATTAACACGAAATTTTGCACAACTTATCAAATTGAGACTTGAATAAAGTTATTGCATTTTGTTGAAATTGATGCAGATACTGCCATTACTTCCATATGTATTTCGAACGGGTGTCTGATTGAAATAATTTTTTTACAGTGTGGCGACCGAATAGCGTATATCTAGTTTGCTACAAATAGTCGAAACAGACCAATCTAAATCTACCCGAATGAAATTAAATTTATCATAGGTTGCTGAGAGACATGATTATGTTCTTTCCAAGGATCATTGACAAGCAATTGTAAGGGTACATTGTACACATGTATCCTACCCATAGTGTTGAAGGGTATCATATAGTCGGCCCAGTCCGACTTTACTGCTTTCCTTACTGGTTTTTAAACGAGGACCTTAAATATGTCGTGCGGAAATTGCAGCGGTACCGTTATATGGGAGCTACACCAAAACGTAGGCCGATGCAAACTAAACGATATTTTTTATGGCCTCGATTCAGCTTTCGTGGGGGTACACACACTTGGATCAAAAATTCTTATAATACCCTCACTACTGTAGTATACATTTGGGTCAGAACTTATCGAGGTCTACTTATCAAATTTGAAGCAAAATTTATCTCTGCCAATCCCATAACTCGTTTTTTTTGGAAAATAATTAGATCAGTGGATACACCTTTCGTACACCCAACGATTTCGAAATAATATTAAAGTTATAAAATTAAAATTTTGCTTATCATTAAATGTGTAATATTACATATAGCGTACATATTTATCTTTCTTTGAAAATATAAACAGACAAAAATCACGCTTTGGATAGCTAAGATAAGCCTTCGTAACATTTATTTACAATAAGTAAACATAGGGCGACAAAGTGGTGTTAGGAAACACCTGAATTGTATTAACCTTGATATCAAATAAAGATATTTGACAGTCTTTTAGTATTTAAGAAGAGCATTTCTGACAGATAACTATCAGTTCATCACCATCCAGAGTGTGAATTACAAACAGCCTTTATAGCTAGAAAATGAATAAGTTTATCATAGTTTTAATTGTCGGCACCTGCATTGCCTCTGCTTTGGCCACCGATTATTGTTCAGCCAAGTTATGTAGTAAAGGCGTAACACATGTTGCCTGTGGGAAGAAGGTGAGTTGGAATAAAAGCTCCTAGGATATTTTATCAAAGATTGTGTGGTATAAGTTGCATATATAAAACCTGATTTCTTGAAATAATTTTTCATATCCGCAAAAGTCAAATTTAACTGTTATGCGCAACATTATCCTTATTCAAAGGGAATTATAAAAAAATGAATAATCTTTCAATTCCAGGAATTTTTCGACACCTGCCCATCCAATGCTGCCTTTGTCAAAATCGATGACACTTTGAAAGAAGAAATTGTCCGAGCGCACAATGAAAAACGTAATCTGGTTGCCGGAGGTGGAGTAAATGGTCTGGAACCTGCTTGTCGTATGGCCACCATGGAATGGGATGATGAATTGGCTGCTGTTGCTGCCTACAATGTTCTCAAATGTAAAATGGCTCATGACAAGTGTCGCAATACTGAAACCTTTAGATATGCTGGTCAGAATTTGGCTTGGCGCTCATTCTGGGGCCAGCAAAGTTATAGCACACTTTTCAAAAAATCCTTTGCCATGTGGTATGATGAAGTTAAGGATGTTAAAATGGAATATCTCAATGAGTTCCCTAAGGGCTACAAGGGACCGTAAGTTGAAGGCATAATTTACATATTGAAAATTATTTATTTTAAATTCATGTTTTTAGTCAAATTGGTCACTTCACTGTTATGATGGCCGATCGCAATATCCGTGTGGGTTGTGCCGCTGCCACTTATGATGACACCAGAATCGATGGTGATAGACAAATCTTCTTGATTGCCTGCAACTATGCTACCACAAATATGTTGGGTTTCCCCATCTACAAGAACTGCAGCTCTCCAGCCACATCATGCTCAACGGGTACAAATCCTGATTATCCTAATTTGTGTTCCACCTCGGAAGTTTATAATGTTAACAAGTGGTATTAGTTTATATATAGTTGTTGTGTTTTGGCTTTGATTTTGCGCGATATCTTACAAATAAAATAATTTATTCTCAAAAAATATACATAATTGTTTATAATTTTCATTTTTATGGTTCGAAGGAGGAGTCAATGTCAATTAGAAGAGGAAAAGGAAACTTCCATATAGAAACTCGAATATTAACATTATATGCCGACTATATGATAAAGCATATAAACAATTGAAGACTTAAAGGATAAAGAAATGAGTTGAAGGTTTTAGCTGCATTTTTTTAACTTAAGGTGCTGTAATTTTATATTCGGGGGTCTTGAGGTTGAAAAACTTCCAATACTGGTCCGATTGAGACAAAAATTTAAACAGTGTACTGAATTAAGTCCAGATTGATGTATGGGAAGTTTTGTTGGAATCGGTTCAGATTTAAATATAGCTCCCATATATAGTTTCGTTCGATTAAATGTAAATGGAGCTCCAACTGCCAATGTTTGTCTTGTAAAGTGTAACGTCCGTGAAGTTTTGTTGGAATTGGTTCAGATTAAGTTATATATTTTCTTCCGATTTTATTTAAATGGAGCATCAGAGTTTTAAATTAGGTCCTGATTGATGTATGCGTAGTTTTGTTGGAGTCGGTTCAGATTTAGATATAGCTCCCATAAATAGTTTCGTCCGATTTTACGTAAATGAAGCATCATACTGCCACTGGTGCTCCATTTTTGTTGAAATAAGTTCAGATTTTAATGAAGCTCTCATAGTCCCATTTTATACTAGTTGCACCATAGTTCCTGTTCTATTTGCACGACATTTTGCTGCAAATTGATGAGCCTATGTCTGTTCAATTGACATCAAATATTGCATAGGAGTTTCGACTGAAGTCGTTTCCGATTTCGCCTAATGTTGTTCCAAATAACTAAAGTTTGTCCGATTAAGACGAATTAGTGCACAACGTACCAAATGGAACCTAGAATAACGTGTATTGGATTTTGTGTCGAGATACATTTTGGATAGCACACTGTGATGCAGCAAACGGTTGCTTAAATACGTCTATTTATATATAGCACCATACATATTTTCTCGATTTCATGCAAGTGATTGACGTAATTTTTTTTTTCAAAAATTTCAGAATGGTATGTGTATGGGTTATTTTAATTTAGATCAAATATCTATGTACTTCACACAGTTAATTTTTTCCGATTCCATTTCAATGGTCCGCCAAAGATGCTATGCCTATTCTATCAACAGGATATTGTACATATAAGCATTTCTTGTATGTACCCAAAGTGGTGAAGGGTATCATATATTCGGCCCCGTCCGACTTTTGAGCTTTCCTTACTGGTTTTGAGCTGATACAGATTTGAATATAGGTTATCCAATTTATTGTAAATAATGTATCGAATATGCTATGACGGCCCTATTAGAAATGTCGTCCGATTTTATGTAATTGGTAATATTCCTTGGAAATTTTTCTCAATATTTTTTACTGTACGTTTGCATTTAAAGATCTCAATGTTTATTCTAATCCTTGCAAGTAATTTTTTTTTATATATATCCTATTTTCCGTAAGATTTCACTAAAAGCAGTTAGTTTCTCAAAAAATATATTTTTTCAAAGCAAACACAAGCATTTATAATAGTATCATGAGAATATATTTCATTTTTATAAGGGTCAGATCATATAACAGAAAAGCAAAGTTCTAACAATTACAAATTTAACAGCTTAAATTAAAACCACTTATTAACTTCATATTTTTCCGAAGTTGAACACAAATTAGGATATTGAGGATTTGTACCCGACGAGCAGGATGTGGCTGGAGAGCTGCAGTTCTTGTAAATAGGGAAACCCAACATATTTGTGGTAGCATAGTTGCAGGCAATCAAGAAGATTTGTCTATCACCCTCGATTCTGGTATCATCATAAGTGGCAGCGGCACAACCCACACGGATGTTACGATCGGCCATCATAACAGTGAAGTGACCAATTTGACTGAAAGGAATTTTGAAATTAAAATAAATAATTTTTTAAAATGTTACTTAAAAATGTTAACTTACGGTCCTTTGTAGCCCACAGGGAAGTCATTGAGATATTCCATTTTAACATCCTTAACTTCATTATACCACATGTCAAAGGATTTTTGGAAAAGTGTGCTATAACTTTGCTGGCCCCAGAATGAGCGCCAAGCCAAATTCTGACCAGCATATTTAAAGGTTTCAGTGTTGCGGCACTTGTCATGAGCCATTTTGCATTGGAGAACGTTGTAAGCAGCAACGGCAGCCAATTCATCATCCCATTCCATGGTGGCCATACGACAAGCAGGAGCCAGACCATTTACGCCTCCACCAGCTACCAAATTACGTTTTTCATTGTGAGCCCGTACAATTTCTGCTTTCAGATTGTCATCGATATTGACAAAAGCAGCATTATCAGGACACGATTCGTCAAATTCCTAAAAATTAAATATTTTCATAAAATCTATTTATGATAGCTAGTTATAATTCCTGATACCCATGGGATCCTATTCTTATCTAATATTTTTTTTTTTGAATACCAGTCATCCGATCTTACCTTTTCCCCACAGGCAATATGTGTAACTCCTTTATTACATAATTTTGCGGAACAATAATCGGTGGCCATTGCCGAGGCAATGAATGTCCCAACAATCAAAATTGTAATATACTTATGCATTTTTTTTCTCTATGTTATTTCTGAATCTCACACTCTGTTGTTATTATTTAACTGATAGAGAATTTAAAAAATGCTTTCTTAAATACTCAAAATTTTCGTTAGGTGTACCATGATATGTTGGAAATCAAAATTCTTTCTGATAAGGTGTATGTAAATATTACAATTACAGGTGTTTCCTAACACCTTTATGACCTTTGGTTTTATTGTTTGACAATTATTTCCACGAATTATCTATGTTATCTATTTATTTATTTCATTACTTATCTATTTGTGTCAATTGTTTATCTTCTCAAGAACTTTAAATATTTGAATGACATTGAAATAGACATTTTTTGGAGATTTTCGGAAGAAAAGTAATTTTATTGTTTATATTCATTTTTGATTCTTAAGAAATTATTAATTTTCAAGAAAAATTCGAAATATGTCTGTGTTCCTTGAGAGATCAGTCATTTCTTGTTTCATTTGTTAAACTAATTTGTCAGATATGAAAGATTCAGAATTATTGGAATCTAGATTCCAATTCAAAACTGCTATTCCGTCCATGTCTTAATGTTATTTGAATCTATCTTAAATTCAAAACTTTTATTTTATCCGTGTTGGAATACCGTGAGTTAAATGTATACCTGCGGATTTTTTTGCCGCCAGTATTCATGTTATATTGTATGAACACCAGGCCGTAGAAAATGGTAATCAATTCAAAAAAGTCTATTGTTAATAGTTGAGAAAAAAATTTGGAAAAAGCCATAGTGAAGTATGGATTAAGAGTCCGAAACAAAAGAACGATCGGTAGTGAGACAACGAATCTTCTTTGTGGAAGAGGCACTTTGAAGCAAGTGACCATTTGTTTCTTCGGCTAAACCTGTTGTGTTCCCCTTTTTCAAAGCCCTGACATGTCTTTTAAAGATTTCTTTTTATTCCCGCATAACACGAAAAACGTTTTTTTTTGCCCCCAGAAGATACCGTTGAAACGTTTAAAATCTGATTAAATCTGATTTAAAGGTGCGTATACAATAATAATACTTTTCATGACAAATATTTCCATTTTCATTTATATTCAGGAATATATAAAGCCTGGACCGTATACGGGGATATATAAAAAATGAATTTTTTATACCCTTCACCACACTGTGGTGCTTTTGTGCATATGTTTGTAACAGGCAAAAATAATCGAGATAGACCCGGATTATGTGGCCCTGAATCCGGATTAAGTGGCCTTAATCCGGATTAAGCCTTAATCCGGATTAAGGCTTAATCCTGGTTCGGGGTCAATGACCTTTAATTCGGGTTAAATCCGGATTAAGTGTCCCTTAATCCGGATAAACCCATAATCCGGATTAAGCCTAAATCCTGGGTCAAGAACACTTAATCCGGATTAAGTGGCCCTTAATCCGGATAAAGGCTTAATCCTGGGTTCGGGGTCAATGACCTTTAATTCAGGTTAAATCCGGATTAAGTGTCCCTTAATCCGGATTAAGTGGCCCTTAATCCGGATTATGCCTTAATCCGGATTAAGCCTTAAACCTGAGTCAAAGACCCTTAATCCGGATTAAGTGTCCCTTAATCCGGATAAAGCCATAATCCGGATTAAGCCTTAATCCTGGGTCAAGGACACTTAATCCGGATTAAACAGCAATATTAAACATTGACGACGTTTATTTTCGCACGCTAGATCTGATGTTTATACCACAGTGAAAGGGCGCCATTTCTCAGTTATCGGCATATAATTTCACATTTTGGGTGGAACATTTTTGGCGTAGACGCTGCCAACATTTGAATTGGTAATATTTATCCCAACGATAATTCGAAATTTTTGTATGGACTCTTGAATGAATCTATACACTGGTAAATTTTCGATGTTTAGGTCAGTGATATGTAACCTAGTATAAGTAATGTCGCACTTTCCCTTTCATCGTATGCATCCTTGCTTGGGCTAATTCATTATTAAAAACCAGTAAGGAAAGTAGTAAAGTCGGACTGGGCCGACTATATGATACACTTCACCACTTTGGGTATATTTTACATATGTATCCTAACAGACGACGCGTTTTGTTATAAATCTGTATCTGAACCGATTTCAGGGAAACTTGCCAGAGACTAATTTATATAACATCAGTACGTTGTGTCAATCGGCCTAGCTATGGATCTTTTCACGAAGCAACATCATTCTAGACTTAATTCAGTACCCTATACCAAAATTCGTCAAATCGAAACTTTGCACATATCATTCTAGACTTAAATTAGTATGTTGTGCCAAATTTCGTGCAAATCGAAAGATGGACTTTGGTACACAATTAACCTTAGATCGGACAAAGGTATATATGGGAGCTATA